CCTAGGGGATAAAGGGAAAGAAGGAGCTCAAGAGAGGTAGGACCATAGGAGAAGGGTATTATTAAGGGAGAAAGGGGGGAAATGGGAGCACCTTAAGTGGGAAAACCATGATAGAGGGGTGAGACAATGCAAGAGATACATAGCTACTTTTGAAAACAAGAGGGAACCATATTACTCCTACAACATACTGACAAATTATACATAGCAGGTCAAGAAATATATTTCTAGGTAAATTAGCTGAGAACAACTGATCTTTGCCCAAGATTTATCTATATGACACACAGTAATTAAAAGTAGCAGACTGGTGGAACTAACCTTCTTGGATGTTTAACAGACATACTTTGAGGCCTATAATAATTTGGTCAGAGGGACATAAAGGACAGTTTTTGCTCCTAGCCCTCCAAGGTCAACTAGTTCCAGGGGACTATGAGCATCTAACAAAATGTCCTGTAATTGTGGTGGGTCACCTGTCCTCTTAATCAAGGAGGCTGAGGAAACCCCAGCAGATGGACTTGAACCAGTGTCCAGTCTACAAAGAGGAGGGTCAACACAGAGGAAATATTTCCTCCATGTTTCCAAGCGAAGCCAACCATGGTCGAGCAGGACCTTTGACTTATCTTCACATAGGTGGAACTGGTAAAAGAAAGGAGCCAGGGGCTCCTTCCAAGCCCATGTGACCCCTGAGGAACAGATCCTCAAATGATCTTAAGACTAAAAATAAATTGGTTTATCTGAGCCAACTGTATGGCCTTAAACACCCAAAAGAAAAGTATAACCAAAGATTAAAGGGGCCAATATAATTTCTTAAGAGTCCATATGCACAGCTAAATGTTTCATAACAAGCAACAATGCCAGATAGGAGAAACCTTCTTTTGAGTTGTTGGCCAGAGTGGCCAAAGGGACTCCCAGATAGTAACCCAGCATAGAATTGAGAAAATGAACGGCAGACCCCAATCTTATCTAAAGGAATATTGACAACTGATTGCTGCTAGATGAGGAACAGCTGACTCTCCTAAAACAAAGATCTCTAGATAGGCTGACTAGATTCACCAGAGGGGCAAGTAGTGGGGAATGGCTGGGGGTGCCAGCAACACAGCAGACAGTAGCAGGGATATCAAAGTTTAAGGGCTCTAGTGGAGGGAGGGAGGCTATGGGAGGGTACCATCTGGGAAGTGGGTGTATAGTTGAACAAGATGGTTTGGTTTGGTCTGTGTGATATACACTCACAAAAAGAAAATCAACAAATTTTAAAAAATGTATTATGTTTGAGGAGGAAACATGGAAATTTACATCATGCTAATTAGTAGAGGTAATAAACATTACCACTGACATCTACCCGATGACATACACAGGCGCCAAGGATCCAAGTGCAACCGATTATGACTAGTAATAATCAGATACATACAGATTAGAGATGCATGCGCCAACATCTCAGTGTTAGTAGCAAAGCAATGAGTCTTTCTGCAAGGAACAATCTATTCTAAAACGAAATGGAGATCTTTTTTAAAGGTTAAAACCTCATTTAATTTTATGTCTTATAGGGTTTATACTGAGTACAATATTGTATAACTAATAATTCAACTGTAAACCTAAAAATTTACAGCCAATTTTGAAAGAGATACATCTTAGCTCAGGAAATTGTTATTGAATATGTCAATGCTGTTGTAATGAAATGCTTCTTCTAAGTATGTGGTTATTAAAAAATTTAAATTAAAAAAAAAAAACTCTCTTGCCAGGCGGTGGTGCACACCTTTAATCCCAGCACTCAGGAGGCTTAGACACATGGATCTGCAAGATCTACGCCAGTCTGGTCTACATAATGAGTTCCAAGCCAGCTTGGGCTACAGGGAAACCCTGTCTCAAAAAAGATGAATCAGTCATCCATCAATAAATCAATCAATCAATAAAAAAGATCTCTCATTCCCTGCCACTGTAACCATTCTCCAGAGGGAACTCTTAGTTGTAGTGTTCTCTCCTTTTGACTTGACTTGATTCACTACTGATTGCCTGAGTTGTACTGTATTAACTGAAATCAAACTGTAACTGAAGTCATCAGAATCATAGCAATGTTATGAAATAAATCAAAATAGCTGTTGTAATTATAAGTTTTAAGGGACAAGTTTCCAAGCTACATGCATTTTGATGCCGAATGGAAAGCTGAAAATAGCTGGTATAAAATGAAGCAAAAAAAAAGATTACTTTCCTCTGCAGAAACAGAAGTAAAACATAGGAAACAGAATCATTTACCACTGTCGATATCATCTCCTTTGCTTTCATTTATTGTCCTGGTCAGGCCATCAGAAACAAAGTCTATGACCCCGTGCGGGTCATCGTTTTTCAGAATCGTTATGTTGACAACTGCAGCACCTCCCAGCTTGCTTTCCCTCTCACCATGGCTGCTGAGGACCACCCAGTAGTGCTCATCCAACTGCAAAGGGCATGCCAGATCAGCAAAGATGTAAAGCTTAGATGTTCACAGCAAATAAAACATAATGTATCTGATGGTGTTAATATGCTCAATTTCTCAGAAACATACAACTCACTAAAAAGACAAGAGCTCATAATATTTCTATTTTTCATATTTGCCTATTAATTGAGAGACACACTGTGCAAAAAAAATTATAAATGATACTATTCTAAGCTGTACTAATTCAAGATCTTTTCATTGATTATCTAGTACTCATCTAAACAAGAGTAAAGAAAGTAAAATTAATTTGAAAGCTTTATATGCACTGAAGTATAAACATAATGGAACTACATCTGGTTCTACTGATATAAAACAAACTTGTTTCCTTTTAAAAAGTAACTTTATAGCAGAACTTCAGTTCAAAACAACACCATTAAGAGTTCAGTCATTGGAGATCACATAAAATAAAACAATGTAAGTAAAGATAAAAGAGGGGAAAGCCGATCACACAAGTGAAGTCTCAGACTGGTTTGGAGCTGGAGACAGAACTCAGCCGTTAATAAGACTCACACTTCTAAAGGACAAGAGTTCGGATCTCAGATGGTTTGGTTTGTATTTCTTGTTGTAGGACACTTTTCTAAGCTGAATGATTCTTACTTTGCTTTTCAAAACTTTTCAAGCTTTTCAAGCTTCTTTTTAATTTTTCCAAATGTTAAATGCTTATCCTTTCTTACATCTTATTGCCAATGTTTTAAATATTTATATTCACAATGTGCCAGTCCTCTCAGCCTTCCACAAAAGCACGAGGGAAAAGCAACCTCGTACCTCTGGTGTGCCATCCAATCTTGCTAACAAGGTGATCACTATTTCCCTTTCCCCGGGTATAAATTCCAGTACCCCCGTGTTTCCATAGAATTCGTTGCTAGCTCTCGGTTCTACTCGATAGTGCAGAAACTGTTTAATGAGAGCCCCCCTGGATCGGATAATGTGGAGCTCCACGGATTCTCCTTCCTTTAAAAACAAAAATCCATAAAAGTTCAAATCCTTCTAGAACTTTCTTCTGAAGTTAGGAACACAGAATAAAGTTACATACTTACTTTTATAACATAGGGTCCTCGGGAATCAGGAGAAAATTCAAACACTCCTCCAGGGTCATCATTCTCCAAAATAATTAGGTCTCGGCTAGTATGTCCAGATTTCAGCACTTCACTATCTACATTAACCCTGGGGAAGTGAGAGAGAAAAAGGTACAGGCTACCTCTGGGCTTACTTCCGAATCCTGTAGACTTTGAAGACCTACAATGTGTATTGTTCTTCCAGATACTTAAAGAAGGCAAGTAAAATGTAAGCTTAAAGCAAATTTACATGCATTCAAATCACTTCATACCTAAATCACTTCACTCAAAACTTTAAGGAGGAAATATTTCTGAATGTATTATCTTTTTATTTGACTGAAATAAATACCACAGAAACTGTAAGTTACAAATATATTTCATTTGTATAAAGTATTGAATTTTACAGATTTTATTAGGTTTAGGAAAAGAAGTTTGTATCATGTAGTTAGAAAACATATTTAAACAATCTGATATGCTTCTCCAATACATATATTCTAAATTTTATGAACACCTAGATTTCTTTTAAAGTCTTGTTAAATAGGATTATGCTAATTAAGAATATGTAACAATTGGGTAATAGCCCAGACAATAAGAAAAAACAGCAGGGTTAGACTTTTACGGATACTTTTGTCTTTCAAGTATTTAGTATTTGTCTCAGTTTTAACCTCAAACTTTTTTTAGGATAAAAGAAAATATAAAATATGTCAGAAAAAAAGGAATAAAGTGGATCTGAAATGCTGACACATAATAATAATTCACATGTGTGTATATATGTAATAAAAAGAACTTTTTAACTTTCTGGTATTTGTGCTCAGTGTATAATTAGAATGATCAAAGAAACTGAGACTCTGAGATTTAAAGCCAGCAAGCTCGTAGGAATTCTGTCATGCAAGCTGCTCTAAAACTTTCCAAATGTCATTTCCTATTGAACAAAAAGTAGTCATGATCTGACCTCAAAATCACAGTAAAACCACAATTGATAGGTAGAAATATATATAGGTCAGCTTACTTCTATTTAATAAAAAATATGAACGAAAATCCTTCTCTGGCTTTTACAAAACTACAAACCAGTACCAAGCATGCTAAAGCCACAGAAGAGATAAACCAAACACTTATTATAAGTGTTTTATTATGTTGCAAATGCAGTCACCCGATACTCAGGGAAATGTTTTTCCAATTTATTTCTATAAATATCTTCATTGATTAAAATCTGCTGTGTCCATATAAGCTAGAAGATAATATAACTGGATGAAACTGCAAAGTATACAAATCCAATGTGAACAGCCAGCATGGTGGCACTCGCCTTTAGTCCCAGTCCTCAGGAGGCAGAGACAGGTAGATCTCTTTGGGACTGAGGCCAACCTGATCTACACAATGAGTTCCAGGTGGGCTGGGACTAAAGAGATCCTGTCAGAAAAATAAAAAACAGGAGCCAGATGTGGTGAAGTATGCCTTTAATCCCAGCACTTGGGCAGGCAGATCTTTGTGAGTTCCAGGCCAGCTGGGGCTACAGGGAGACCCTGTCTCAAAAAAGACCAAAATAAAATAAAATAAAAAACAGAAAACAATGTGAACATTAAATAAGTGAATTTATATTCAAACTTTCTTAAAATATGCTATCCTTAAGTAAAATGAAAGTCCTGAAAGATTCTTTATAAAATGCATACATAAAACCAGTGGAACATTTCACATTCTGTTAAATAAACTACAAGATTCACAAAAGATGTTAAGGATTTCACAAGTAAATTATAATAATTATTCTCTGGTTTATGTTTAACCTCTATGGAAAGTTAAAATTTTAACTTCTCAAAAATGTGTGATGACACGCCAGTTCTTAAACATTTCATTAAGTATTTTAGATGCATTCCTAATGTAAAACTTAGGATCAAAAGGCCCAAACACTTGATACAAGTCCTGTTGTCAGCAGAGAACGAAACCGCACACAGGCATGCAGAGCTGGGGGGCAGGCAGCATTTCTCAAGACTGCTCATGCGGATGGCAGCCTTTCCACAAAACCATCCCTCACACAACAAAACACTGAATCTCCAAAACAAGGCATTACTCTGCACACTTACCCAAAATACACGACAAATCTTTCAGTTTCTACCCTGTCAACACAGAAAGAACTGTGGGAATGGGGAAAGGGAGGCAGGTGCACCATTTGCCAAAATCTCACTACTTAGAAGCTCAGAATGGCAGGGCAAAAATAAAGCTAAGAAAGGCTTTCTTTCTCACCCACCCCTTCTCCACTGAGAGCTAGTGATTTTCTCTTTATGGGAACTGTGCACACTGAGTTCTTTGCTATTGACAAATGCTAGCAAGAAGTTTTCAGTTCCCACTTACGGAAGATGACCCCATGACCAGCAAGCATGTCAAGACCCATTCAAGACATTCCTTTCCCCGCCTCCTCCAAGCACTGTGAATGCTCAGAAGCCACAGCAGCTGAGCAAATTTCATCCAGCCAGACATAATTATTTAGTCGCTTTATAACTAGGTTTTAAAAACAACTTTATCCTTGGATCTATGCCAGTCGTTCTTTAAGTTAAAAAAAGAAAAGCTCTGTAGCAGAGAAATCTAGACTTTTCATTGTTTGCACAGAAATACATTCGAGAAGCCACAAGGTATCACGATGACTTTTAATTACAATTTTGTATCAGGAAATCTAAACACTAAACACTTTCCCATATTCCCAATGTATTTCATTTTCAAGCAGCCTTGAAAATGACATGCCAAAATGAAAAGCCCTTGAGCCTAACGTTTAAAGTCAAATATCATTTACAGAGTTATACACCACATACTAAAGTGTTCCTGAAGTAAAATGATGAAAAAAAATGTTTCTAATTTGGAGACAATTAAACAATTGAAATTTGTAAACAGTTCATGTATGGAAGGTACCTTTAATTGTTTAGTATCAGGTCAAATTTGTTTATACTTAGTTTAAATATAAAATATTTGAGTTTAACCTTAAAACTGTGAAATGTATCCTAATAAAGTATTAATAATTTTTATTGAAATATAATCACACTTACTAGCTATCATTCATTATTTCACTTAAGTTTTGTTAAAATTTTCAAAACTACCAGATTTTTGATAAAAGTCACTTCCAAATCATAAATTTTATTCTCATTTATCTAAACATTTCTTGAAACGCGTGAATATAATTTGTTTATTCTTGTTTGCACACTAATTACTAAATGAATGAAGACAAAACATTTTTGCTAATTTTCTCTATTTGAAAAGAACCATAATTTCTACCTTATGATTTGTTTTTCCATGTCTGCTGTTTTCATTGCAGGGGCAGTGAAAGAAAAGAGTCCTTTGAGTTACAGTTAATTTCAAATGTTCATTTGACAAGATCAAAAGTGACTACTTTGAAAGACTATGAAGAAGAGTTGCTGAGTTGCAGAGGTATAATTTCAGTTACCCTTTGAGTATTTAGTTGAGATCGGCAAAGCTAACCAAGTTTCTTGTGTATTCCTACAGCTTTGGTTATAATCACTGCTCAATTTGCATTAGTGTTCTTCACAACTGTCCACTGATTTAATTAATACTCAGACTTAAATTATAGAAAAACGGTACCTGAAAAAAACTAATTTCCAATTCATATTTCATTGAAATCCACTGATTTTTTTTAATCAAATGAAATGCTTTTCCATAAGACAATATAAAATGTACATTAGGATCACGTCACTTGGACTGCATGTGTTTAGCTTCCCTGTTCATTTTTGCTGTTGTACTGTTTGATGGAAGGATGGATGTGAATAAACATGTGACTCTGATCATATCCAAAATGAACAGTGGCCTCACAATAGATGTGCCCTCTGTATTCTGTATCTGCTCATTCATTTGAAACCAAAACCTCATCAATTTTGTAAAAGGAAATGTATAAAGGATTGATAGTAAATTTTAGAAAACTTTCCAGGTTTAAGCAACTTTACTACTTCATTCATGAAAAACAAAATTTCTGAATATGAGTTGTACAATGTCTTTACATCACAGTATCACCTGCATTAAAATAAAGTGGCATGAGGAAAAGCTTGGTTTTGCTTTCTGAAAAACATTATCATTGATTAAACACAATATTTTTTTTCATTTTTAGAAAGGATTTTCTGAATTACTAAAAAAAAAAAAAAAAAAAAAAAACCAAAAACAAAACCCTATGAGGCTATGGTTTTATTTTTTTCAATGAGAAGTATCGCCATTGAAATACTAAGCAATAGCTTATTACAGCAACTGATAGCAGATAAATTTGTGTAGTTTTTTTTCTATAGGAATAAAAATTATGTAATATTTAAATTCCATGTAAAAAATGAAGATTAATGTTTTATTTTCATTCGTGGAAAAGGTCTACTCTCGACCAGACATGGTAACCCACGCCTTTAATCCCAGCACTTGGGAGGCTTCCTTCTTTAACAGAGAATTGTAATTGGCTATGCTTCCAATTTTTCAGCTACATCCCACAAATTCTCTATATAATGCTTCTTCATAGGAAGAATAAAGGGTCACAAAATATATTTTTTTTTATTTTCTAAGCAAAAGCCAACAATAAATAGCAAAAAAAAAATCTGAAGGCCAGCACGATAGTTTTTAGTTCATATTTTTTAACATCATACAGGAGAAAAAGAGCTCAAACAAAAATCCAAATTATGTAAGAGAACTCAAACATACAAATGGTATTGTTTTCTACGTGAGTTATTACCTGTCCAGAGAGAGTGTTCCAGTTTCATTCATCTCTGGTATGTTGTCACCTTTGACTGTAATGTTGATTGTTGTGTCACTTTGCCCAGATAAAAACACAACAGAGCCATTAAAGGGACCTGCATCATCCACGGTCACTGTTTGTGAATTAAAGCCAGACGGCTTCAAACTCCAGTAGACAGTAGCCTGACCATCAGTTCCGTCTCGATGTAAGGGAATATATACCTTATTTTCAAAAAAAAAATAAACAGAAGAGCAATCACTGCTCAAATGTATGATCGGGAGTAATGTAAGCTTTACACGTACATGAAAATGTAATTAGCTGAACATATGTATGTACTCTGTATGAAGACAAAAACAATTAGGTGACATCAGACAAACAAAGAAACTTCTTTATGCAGGAAAATAATTTTAGGCACAATTTTTTATAGTTCTTGCTATCTACAACATTAACCCCACAAAAATGTGACCTTGAAATTATAATAAAAAGGCAAATCTATTAAAAAGCTAAAGAATAATATACAAAAATACATAATACTGACCATTCTGCTTTTCTGGCTAACAACAGCCAGAATCTGAGACCAGCAAGCAAAGCAAAATTCCTCGGAAATTAAAAAAAAAAAAAAATCCCTAACTGAAGGCTGGCCCTCGATGTCCTACTTCTGCTCCTGTCTCCTAAAAGGGGAAGATGGAGGGCCGAGGGGCCCAAAATTCCCTGAAAACTAACTTCTCTCAAGGGAACGGCTGAAATAGTAAATGTTGAGTTTTACAAAATAAACAAATAAGGCAATCCATTCCTAAAGAACAAACTAAGTGCTTTGGGGGGCTTTTAAAAAGAAACAGTATACTTTAAATATATATATAAAATAAAACAATTTTGAAAAATGAAGCTTCTCTGGCCCATTTATAGAATCTAGTAAACAGAGGAAACAGTGGTCACCACATTTTGACATAAAGCTTTAATAACAAAAGCAATTCTCATTTCTGAAACGACCTGCAAGCCAATGTAAACCAAATCTAGTTCAGAAGAACGTGAAGAGGGTCTTTGACAGATGGTGGCTCAGCAATGGTAAGGCAGGACAGACAGAGTCATTACTAAGTAGGCTTGAAGAAGATTCAACCAGGGCAATGTGCCTTTGGGGTGGGGGTAATGTGAATATGTTTTTATGTGTGTGCAAATACTAAATCTGCAGATATGTAAATATATGCCGATATATATTTATCATTTACTAAATGTTATGGCTCAACATTTCTCAACTTTGTCATCATCACATCTAGTATCAAGCGTAGGACCCAGCATTGTAATCTCAGTGCTACCCAAGATGGGCATGTGAAATGTTCAGAGGAGAAAGCCAACAATACTTGTGGTTCCACAACATGACCATTAAAAACCAGATTTATGAGGGCTAGAGAGATGACCCAACAGTTAAGAGCACTGGCTGTTCTTGCAGAAGACCCAGCAAACCCCAGAAAACCTTCACATAACTGTTGAAGGTTTTAATGGCTTACTACGTTTACATTGTTAACCTTATATTTAAAACGTAGAGTCTTTGCAGTCTTCAAATACATTAAGGCCATCAGCAAGAAAAAAAGTCGACTTACAATCTCAGCAGCAGAATCTTCTGGTTCATACAAAATGATTGGATGGTTGCTAAGAAAGCCAATTTCTCCATTTGCAAGGACCGGAGTAACCAATAAAGAAATATTTCTGATTTTCCCAAATCTAGGACTTATAGGTGGGATCGAGGGGATTATGTTCACCAACACCACAGTTTCCAACTAGAAAATACAGAGAAAAATAAGTACAGATAAGATACTTTTAAAAGTAAGCAAAACTTTTAACATCACAAAGTGACTAAGTAAACATGGAAACAGGTTGCCAATAACAAAGCAACTTCCAAGTCATGCCCCCTTCACCATCCCTCTTCCGTCTCCTGAACTGACTGCCAAAATCTCTTTGGATCCTCAAGTACGATTACCGTGTTCTTTCTGGGTACTTCATGCACCTTTTTAACAATCTTGGGATGTTTCCCTTGAACTCCAAATCACTTCCAGTGGGCATCACGCAAATGTCACACAGACACCATACAGACAGAATATCCCAACAGAAACCTCTATCTCTGTTCCAGACTGCCTCACCACTACCTTCATGAATACCACCAGCTGCCTTTCCCCCTTGTTACCTATGTCCAACTACCTTGAAATTTTTTTTAAGATTTTTATTTATTTATGTTTTATGTGTAAGAGTGTTTTGTCTGCATGTATGTAAGTACACTACATGCCTACATGGTGCCCATGAGGGCCAGAAGAGGGCAGCAGATCCCCTGGAATTGTAGTTAAGAATGGCATTAGCCTCCATGTGGATACTAGGAATGGAACCTGGGTCCTCTGCTAGAGCAGTCATTGCTCTTAAACACTAAGTCATCTCTCCAGCCCTCTACATTAAACTTTTAAATCCAAATCCAAAAAAAAAAAAAAAAAAATACTGTCTACATCTTCTGCCCATACATCCAGTCAGTCACCCACTCCCCATTTCTGCCAGACCCAAGTCAGTACCAAAGGCCATTCAGAGCTCTATCACTCACAATCTCTTTATGCTTAAAGAAATGCAATGTGGGGCTGAAGAGATGGCTCAACAGTTAGGCTGCACTTGCAGAGGACCCAGGTTCAGTTCTAAGGACCCACATGGCAGGTTCAGTTTCTAGGTTCAGTTCTAAGGACCCACATGGCAGCTCACAACTTCCTGTAACTCCAGTTCCAAGGGATCTGAGACCCTCTTCCTCTACAGGCATTGCATGCAGATGGTGCACTTATGTATATGCAAGCAAAGCACTCATACATACAAAAAAATAAAAATAAAATTTAAAAAGTATTAAAATGTGATAACCTTCATTGTTTTCTAATTTGAAGAGCCAGCCAACATTAAATGCATGGAAAACACTGCAATTCTGTATCATAAACGAGTGCACCATTTTAAACTTTGGCAATAACAATATTTTTATAAATAGAAATTGAGAAATAAGAGAGATGAGACAGAAGGATATGCGGCTTTTTTAAAAGTTGAAGGTTCTGGCTAGGCATGGTGGCTCACACCTTAATCCCAGAACTCAGGAGGCAGAGGCAGGCAGATCTCCGTGACTTTGAGGCCAGCCTGGTCTACATAGTGAGTTCCAGGCCAGCTGGGACTATAACAAGCCTGTCTCAAAAAAACAAAAAAAGTTGAAGGTTCTTGGATGTGATCCACAGTTAATGAAGAAACACATTTTTAGCATACTATTTAAAAGAAAAGTTTTCATAATGCTTTTTATCTCTAAAATGCCTCTCTTGTAATACATGAGAAACATTTATTCCACAAATTCCATTCTGATGTCATCCTTTCCAAATCAAGTCAGAGCAATTGTGAATCCCTGTCTCCTACCTCTCAATTCCAGTCTTCAGTGACTCCTCTCTATCATCCACTACAGTCCATTCACATTTCATACCTAGTGTGTTAGATGGCTTCAGTTGACACACCTGGTAAAGGGAGCCTCAAGTGATGAATTGCTCCATTGGACTGGCCTGTGGCCATGTCTGTGGGGCATTTTTTTGATTATTGAGTGATGTGGGAGGGCCAAGTCCACTGTAGGTGATGCTATCCCTGGGCAGGTTGTTCTATACTATATAAGAAAGCAGGTTGAGCAGGGGTGAGGGGAGTAAGCCAGTAAGCAGCATTCCTCCATGGCCTGTGATTCAGCTCCTACCTCCAGGTTCCTGCCCTGAGTTCCTACTTGGGCTTGCTCAGTGATGAACTGTGACCCGGAAGAGGTAAGCCAAATAAACCCTTTCCTCCCTAAGTTGGTATTGGTCAGAGTGTTTTGTCATAGCAATGGAGAAACAAACTAGAACACATAGTATATTTTAATACCTCCTGACTAGAATACTAATTTCAGTAGAATCCTTGTCTGATTCAGACTTATGTCATAGAAGCAGGTATAGGCCCTTCCTGGATACTCTAAATAACAGATTTTTTTTCCAGTATTTAAATCTTGTTTGTTTGTTTTGCAACAGAATGTCTCTATATAGCCCAAGCTACCTCCAACTCATGATCCTCCTGCCTCAGTCTCCTGAGCACTGGGATTACAAGTGTGCACACTGTGCCAGCCCTAAATAGCTTTAAATAATAAATGGAATCTAAAATGTAAATCAGAGTAAAATAAGTGTTAGCTATCTTGTGTAGATAAATACAGTAGCAGTTTAACCAAAAGTGAGATTATTTCAGCCATTACAGTACCTGCACTAGGAAGTGGGCCTCGTTCTGCAGGAATGCATCATTTCTGATTGGTAATTTTGTGGTGACTTGATTTTTATGTTCTGGAAAAAGGAGACTGTTTTTTCCAGATATATTTAAGATTCCGTCTTTTGCTCGCAAGGGGTCCACAGCTCCAGCAGGAATATAAAGTGCAGAATAAATCACCCTCACATCTCCTTTAGCTCCTCCTAGTCTTGTAAAACTCAAGGATAAATATCGCTCACTTGGACTGCTTTCAATCTTCTGGCTTTCCACAGGAAAAAAAGCTATTTGTCCATAAACGTCATCACTATCCTGGATGTAGAACAAAAGCTGCAAAAAAGGTGGATATTAAAGTGCAGAATTTTTACATCTGAGATAAAAAAACGCTGTATGTTCTAACTATTCTGAATTTTGTTATTTGTGTATACATCATGTCTAAAATGATCACTTCTTATGTGCAAGAGTAAAAAAGATAAATCAAAAACAAATTTGAAGATTTTCTACAATGTAAGTTTTGAAACTTTTTAAAACTATTTTTTTTATTATTTTTATTTTATGTGTATGCGTGTATTGCCTACATGTAGGTAAGTGCACCCATGTCATGCAATGCCTGCAGAAGACAGAAGAGGCTGTTGGATCACCTACAACTGGAGTTACGGACAGTTGTTAGCTGCTATGTGGGTGCTGGGAATTGAACCTAGCTCCTCTGTAAAAACAGTCAGTGTTCTTAACCGCTGAGCCATCTCTCCAGCCCCAAGTTTTGGAACTTTTTAAAGGGCAAAATATTATGGCTGGGGTTTTGGTTTGGTGGTAAAAATTTCACCTAGCATGGAGAAGTGCATATAGCCCTGGGTTCAATACCTAGCACTGAAAAAAATGAGAAAGTAAATGTTTTGGAGGTTTTTTTGCAGAAAAAACAATGTCGATCAAGAAAAGTAAACATCGTCTTTGCAAAACCAGTTTTCTTCCTGTCAGAACTAACCATAAATTTCTTTGCATATTTAAATTCTTTAGCTCTTCAGTAACACAGATGTACAGACAATAATAATACATGACAAAGGCTACCTCTGCTGGCTCGCTCACTTCAGCACCTCCTTGAATCGTGTGAGGTAGAATTTTAAGTAGGTAAGCCTCAGCCTCTTCTGGAAGATCATCGTTGATAACAGTTAGGAGAACTGATGCCAACATCTGCCCTTGTACAAACTGGAGGACCCCAGAAGTGGGTCCAATATCCTCTGTCACTGGTGAGGGATCGCTGCTGTTCCGTGTCAACACCCAGTTCACAGAAACATTCCCATGAGTGCCACCATTTCTAACCACTGTAATTTCTTCAAATCTAGAACTGTTTAGAAGAACATATATGGTCATATCATGTGGTCTATTTGCCTTTGATTGGATTTTCCCCAGTTTCAAGTTGGCCACCAGAAAATGCTAAAGAGTCCATCACAAAAAGCCATTGTTTTCAATATGAAAAGTAGACATGTATATGGGTTTGTCCTAGGAAACTACCATCATATGAATTCACTTTCATAATTACATCACACCCAAAAAGGAATCTGTAAAGCAATCATAGAGGAAATGACACATGTCCTAACAGTTCAGGATTGTGTCCAGTATCATAAATGTTAAAATTAAACCATATAACAATTCATTAAAATGATTATAGCAATAAGTTTAAAATAAATCATACCTCAATGTTATATCTTCATCAATTATAACTGGTCTTTCAAACAAAATACTGTTGAATGATAGAACTCCATAAGGTTTGTCATTTGGCTTAATGGTGACTTGTACAATTGAAGGGCCCATTAGTACAGCATCTCCCTGCAAGGTGTCCTTTAGCAACATAATGCGAAATGATTCTGCAATCTCTGGTACAGTGTCATCAATTATTTGAAATTTCAGTTGTGATTCATGAATAAAAGGTGGAAAAACAAGAGTTGTATTTGGCTGAAGATCAAGGAAGTCTACATGTTGCTGGGCATGTGCCGTTGAAGTCCCAGTCATAACTTTGTACCTGACTGAAACATCACATTCATTAGATCCAATTGGATTTCCATCCTTATCCTTTCCACGAACCACTGGAATGGTAAGTATCAGGTCTTCCTCAGGAACCAAATAAGCACTCTGAATGAATCTCACTGGACCATCATTTTTCTTAAGGATGATCTCAACTGAACTCCTAGAGTCATTCATCTCAGCTCCTCCTTCTACAGTTTTCAGTTGAATCAAAAATATCTCATCATTTTCTGGTACCTGTCAAAGAAATATAAGCAAAACATCATTAGCCAAAAATATCTGCAAGCAAGCCAAAATGTAAAAAAAATAACCAATTCAATACAATTACATAAAAATAAAAAGTAAAACAATTTAAGGAGAAAAAAGTGAGAGGCTTATTTAGAATCCACATAAGAAAATATCTTCCAAAGCTTGATTTGCTTTAGGTTAGGATGAGAAGTTAATCACTAATAGAGCACTGGCATGAAGCATTAATGACACAGTGTCTGATTATTTCTTCGAATCTTGGTCAGAGTTTAGAGAACTATAAAGCATACAAAGTAAAAGTACACACAAATTAACATCAACTTTAGAAGGTGTTCAGGATCATAAGGAGTATTCAAAGTCTAATAAATACCTATGAATCTGGAAAACTATATTGAATGCCACACAACTGCTAAATTTCAACATATGAATTGCTCTTACTTCTCTCCAAGTGATTTCTACTTCTGGAGTCAACTGCACAAATCAGAATTTCCAACATATGTAATGCCTCTCTATAGAACAGGATTTAAGGGCCAGTTGTGGACAAAATATTAACATTGCTAAAGGGAAAACTTGCTTATAGCTATACAGAAATCCCAGGTTTAACATCCATTGTTCAGTTTGAGCTCTTCATTCACTATAAATTCTATTTTATGAATGAAAGTGAAAACCCACATCATTTTACTTCTATTAACAGTAATATAACAAAGTAAAGCCACTTTCTAAAACATATGATTTGAAATCTTCTAAATTAAAAAATAATAATAATAACCCCAACACACAAGTTATAACCTGCTAACACCCTGAGATCTTAGAGGAGGAAGCTTCTGTTGGCTTCTTGAACTAAAATAACGAGGGTTACCAATGCTGTGGAAGATTTCAGAGTTTGCCTGAGAAATATGACTTTCTAATAATGTTTTCTAATGCATTTATTTTTTTTTTTATTCTTCAGGCATTTCTTATGTGGTTACAGGGTTTTTAGGTGGGTATATATTTTCATCTCTCTCCTTTGTTTTTACTTCCCCAGCAATGCTTGAATTCCTTTGTACGTTTTATTTTCTTATCTCACTCATGGGGACATCCTGCTACATTATTATTCAGATCCAGGTTTTCCTTTGCAACTGAGCTATGTCATATATTTAAATCCTCAGTAGATTCTACTTAAAATGTGAACATAAAATCTTTCCTATGACTGTGAAACTAAAAATATCTGAACAAAGAGGCCAGAGAGATAGCTCATCATGTAAAGGTGTTTGCCGCATAAGCCAAGCAATCTAAGTTCAATCTTCAGAACACACACAAAGGTGGAAGGAGAGAACTGACTCCACAAAAAGTGTCCCCTGATTTGCACATACATGCCATAGCACATCTTTGTGCACATATATACACACACAAATACACACCCATAAATATTTTTAAATCTAAACAAAAATATTCATTGCAGAATTCTCTTTTTACAGCAAAATGTTTATAGTAGTTGAACATCCCTTTCCCTGTTCAAATCAGAAATGATTAATAAAAACTAATACTCAGATTATACAATTCTTCTGTCTTGTATTAAATATTGCTGTCAATTAATATTCAAGTTCCTTTGTTTTAAGATACCAACGATGAAAGCCAAGGTTTTGCACATGCTAGACAAGTGCTTTGCCATACCTCCATCCCTATAGGTATAATTTAATATGAATTAAGCAAGTTATTAGAAAACTACGTTCCCAGAAAGTTACTCATAGCTAAAGGATAAATAGCACCATTTTACACAATTAACATAACAATAACTTTACAATTCAATTTCAATTCGAGACTGCACTCAAATCATATCAAATATTAAATGCAATTTAATATTAGGCACACGGTTCTCTAACAAGTCTGCAACACTGTGTTCTATCTCTTCAGCGTATTTTAACAATATCTCACCTCATCATCAAGTACTGTCAAGTTATGAATTACTGCTGCTCTGCCAGGGGGAAAGGTAATATTTCCTCTAATTGGACTCAAGTCTTCTTCAGGAGGATTTGGACCACCCAATACCTGCAAAGAAATACACAGTGGTATATTAAACACAAACTATCTCACAAAACAGAGAAAACATTAATACCATGTCATGTCTAAAGTTTAAAGATGCTTTAAAAGAATCACAGGACTCGGGGCTCAAGAGATGGCTTAGCAGTTAAGAGCACTGACTGCTCTTGCAGAGGACCCAGGTTCAATTCCCAGCACCCACATGGTGGCTATGAACCATCCTTAACTCCAGTTCCAGGGAAATCCGAAGCCCTCTTCTGACCTCCACATCACACAACATGGGTACACTCACATACATGCAGGCAATACACTCATACACATTAAATAAAAATAATAAATTTTTTTTAAAATAAGAATCACAGGACTTACACGAAGTCTGTCTTTCTAATTAAATCGAGATCTATAATGTCATTACACATTTGGACTATAATTTTAGTAAACTATGTTTTCTACAACTCATTTTTCAACTGTTGCGTTAAACCTGAGGGGAAAACTGTGGAAATATTTCTTCTTGGGATGGACACTGAACACCAATGAATTCCCTGGAGAAATGGAATCAAATTCCAGTTCCATCATTTACTGTGTGACCTCGGGCAAGTTATTTAATAATTCTGTGCCGCATTTTCCTCATCTTCAAAATGAGCGAAAAAAGAATTTCTACTTTGCAGGCTACATGTGAAAATGTAACAAAATTATTCATTTAGAAAGAATTTACCAATTATTTATCACTGCTCTCTTAGGTCTTAAATATAAAAAGCCGTGGGCAAAGCAAATTCCTCCCACATGGGCTTTTCAGTTAATGGAAGTGAATAAATAATAAGTAAATAACCATGCAAGTGCCAGGTGACAACAGATATTATGGAGGAAGAAATGAAGATGATAGGGAGGGAGGCTGAATGCTGGGAGGATGGATTTTTGTATGCAGCACTAATCAGTATAAGGCACTGCTATAAGTAATACAAAATGTTCCACGAATGTCACCTACAGTTGTTTAAGCAAAAAGATAAAAAGAAATGATACAGACCCAATAAAATATTAGGTATTCATGGATAAATTTAAAACACTATTTATTAACTTAGATCGTTTATCCATTCTGTAGTCAACTATTTTCTAATTTCTTCCACATTTCTTATTAGAAATATTTTCAAAAGTTTAACATCTAAATGCATATCCATGAGTGTCTGAAAAACCACTGAAGGATGCTTGTGTAGAACTTGCAAAACTATTGTATATGTCACTGTTTACAGTATATTTTATGCATTATTGTCTTACTAAATGTTCTTTTAAAAATCTCTGTGTATTTGTATGTGATGTGTGTACAAGTATATGTGTTTGTTGGGTGTCAATCCTCATCATCCACCTGGTTTGGACTGGTTATCTTTACTGATCATAGCTGTGCTCACCAGGCTGGCTTCCCTCCGGCTTCAGGGATTCTCCTGTCTCCACTTCCCATGTCATCGAGGAGCACTGGGAGTGCACACCTGACTTACACACTTGGCTTATGTTATAGGGATTCAAACTTGGGTCCTTATGCTGGCATAGCAACTGCTTTACCCACTGAGCCATCTCTCCGGCTCTCTATTTTATGTTCTTACATAATTAAATAATCACCACCTGATATAAATAGATCAAATAAAATTCCTCTATACTACAATATAAATGCTATATAATTCTAGTATCTATTAATGCTTTAATTCAAATAGAAATGTATCTATCATAACCTTCAAATATTCTTAAAGTTTGAAAATGGCATATTTGATCACGTTTTGGATTTTATAAGACATAAAACCTAATTGAAAATTTAAATGTGAACATCACAGAACAGCAGTGTGGGAGGCAGTAAAAAGCCAGCACTGAAGAATGTACCTCACCCACAACCTGTGTCATTCACACCACAGTCTGCAACATCCATAAACCTCCATGGTGGGGATGCTGCTGCTTATATCATCTATCAGACGTCTTGGGGAGAGACTGGAGAGATGGCTCAGCAGCTAAGAGCACTGGCTGCTCTTGCAGAGGATCCAGGTTCAGTTCCCAGCACCCACATGGCAGCTAACAACCATTCATAACTCCAGTTCCAGGGGATCCATCACCCTCTTCTGACCTCTGAGGGCACTGCATGAAACAGGTGCACTTACATAAATGTAGGCAATACACTTACACACATAAAATAAAATATAAAAGTCTTCAGAAAAATGGGACAAACAACATACTAAATAATGTTACAGAAACCTAAGTATTCAATGGGTATTTAAAATGTATACCCTTGGCAATGATTATTATGAAGGTTCTATTAATTTTATAGAATTAATGTGATTATTTTATTTTGTCATTTATCATCAGCCCAAATCTAAAATGATACATTGTTTCATGTAGGCTTAATACATTCAAGGAGAAAGGAAAACATTTTTATATTAACCATTAAGTGTATAATACAGCAAAAGTATTTATCTTTAATTAAGCATGATGTTTATCATACAAAGGACTTTGATTTTTTTAATTGAACCATACAATATGGATTCTTAAAGTGTTGTCATCTAAAATGATGTCAAAGTAAGCTTACCTCAAAAGTCACAGTGACCATTCCATAGGTCCCCTTTTCCCTGATGAGAGTTAGTGGCACAGACTCATTTCTGTCCCTGGGCTCCACCACTGAGATTGATGAAGGCTATTGGGAAGAGCGAAGGCAATGAAGCATTGATCAGAGATAGGAGGTGGTAAAACTGCTAACCCAAAAATGCAAAATGCTAAATTCCACAGCAAATCAATTCACAGTGTACTGTAGGAATGTCATATTGCTAGCATCAATTAACCGTAGATGATAAAAATACTGCAAGAATTTTTTTAATATTTTATTTATTATTTTTATTTTATGTGTATGAGTGTATTGCCTGCATGTATGTAAGTACACCCATGGCGTGCAGTGCTTGAGAAGGTCAGGAGAGGGCGTCAGATCCTGTGGAACTGGAGTTACCCATGGCTGTCAGCCGCCACGTGGGTGCTGGGAATTGAACCCAGGTCCTGCAAGAGCAGCCAGTGCTCTTAAACATTGAGCCATCTCTCTAGCCCCAAATAATGCAAAATTTTAAATCATAATGTAAAGGGAATTCAAAGCTAGACATGCAAAAAGCATGGGCTCTTGTCCTGGTTCTTCCACCATAAGTTCTGAGGAATCTTACAGGCTATCTAGCTAGAAGACAGTAAATTAAAATGCTCACAGAACTCAAGAAGTCACAAAAATAAGGTATGAGGTACGCCTCCAGACCAAGTTAATGGCTCATTGAGGCCATTTGGCCTTGCTCCCAACCACTCCTTCCTCATCATCCATCAGTCTGTCGTTGAAAAACAGCTGTTAATGGCTTTCAGGACGTGATCACTGCCAAAAGAGAAGCAGTGAGAACCTCAAATGCTGAAACACACTAACTTGGCTGGCTGAAACTCAGGGAAGACGAGGACGAAGAGGGAAGCACTGAGTGTACACATGCAAGGACAGCAATGGACATCTCTGAGGAAGATGGTGTCATATCCCCTTCTATAAATGAGGCTATGAATACCCGACCCAACAGGCTGTAATTAGACTTCAGTGTAATTCATGTCAAGCATTTATCCTGCTTCCTGATACATGCTGAGGGCTCAATAAATATTGGCTATTAATATTACATCAATGAGATGTTCATTATCGGCGTTATCATCAAAAGGCTAGAAACTGAAGTGGTCTGTTAAATACCTACTATAACACAGCGCCCAAATGGAGCCTGTCAGAGGCTGAATGATAGGACTGTACCAACCCCAGAGACTCATCCCACAACATAAGGTATATAATGGCAAAAGAGAGAGAGGAGAGAGAACAGAGGAGGGAAAAAAAGAAGAGAAAAACATCCTTTAAACAAATCCATGTAAGGCTTAGTGGTAAGATGGAAGTATATAAGAAAAACAGTGTGAAAGGAAGCTAAACGATTAAGAAAGCCTGTTTCATAAATTTCTCTTATTCAAATAGAAAGGAGTCATTAATTAGTTTAATTAATGTTTATAAATGACAATATAATGTAGGTTACCAAATATCCACTAAACTGAGGTTAAGCAATACCCCTTGTAAGAAAGATGCTGCAAGTATAAAATATAAAGACCACATTTGTCTACTGTTAGCCTTGTTTTAAAGGTAACTTTAAGGAACTATGGAAATGGCATGCAATGTCCCCGAGCAGAGTGGTGATCTAAAATGGAAAGTGACTAGAAAGCTGGAGAGTATGGTATCATATTTTAATGTTGCTTAGTAACAGGATTCAAAAAGACTATTGGGAAGCTTATTATAGTTTATTAACTTAGTACCCAAATCTATTTGTATTCAAGATGACATTTTGTTTTAGTTTAAGAGTTGGAAACATTTTCTCTCTAGGAGAGACTTGTCTTGTGGGTTTGCTTCTAAAAATAAAACCCTTTGAAAACTGGATGGGCTAGAAATATATGAATTTGGTGAAAGAGATAAAAATAAACTGAACAAAATGCAGGACATGAGATGGAGTTTCAACTTCCATGAAATATGAAATAATAAGAAAATTTTAGGGTACGAACTGGATACAGAATTTGAAAGAGCTATAACATCTACTAGATAATTTTAAGTTCACTGCAAGTTTCCTCGATTTTCTTTCTGTGAGATTTTCTTACCTCACAGTCACTTCAAACACAGGGAAGATTAAGACAAATAGATAATACTTCCTTAAGTGACATTTGGGGAAATCAAGGTGCCTGAGAACACATCTGACTGACAGACCAGCCATCGGTGGCAAATGAATGAGTCATGGAATGATCAACAGAAAAGTTTATTGTGATGACTCTGAGCATGAAAGCCTTCTTCCTCAATCTGCAAAACTCTTAAAAGAGCAAGTGGAAAGCACACAGAGTGTGGGATGGGGACATAGTGAATCTGAGACTTATGTGATATCAAAACAGAACAGCACTGGCAAACATCAGGAAAAACAGTCTTTGTAAAAAGGTTTAATGAACTAGTACAATCATCAAATTGTAACCATACCATACTGAATGAAATAATTCCAAATGCATTGTCATTTGATAGTACTGTCACAATAACAGTCCTTGGCCATCCAAGTTTCACATTTGCTGAGGGTTTCTATAATGAAAGCACAAATAATAGCAAATTAAATATTAGAAGAAAAATAATCAGTTAATAGAATGTCCATCTTTAATTATTGACAGTATGAATAAACTACCCCTCCCTGATGATCTATAGGCGGTTAACAGGTGATGAGGAGGGAGAGACGTTTTCTTCAGTGGTGTAGCTACTGGTAGGTTACCTATGCTCCTGTAAACAAATACTCACTCACACTCCTATAATCAATCCTAATGAATCTCACTGGATCACAAAAAAAGGCACCAAAGAAGTGGGGGGCTACTTGGGAAGAAGATCAACAAAGGAGGGAGGGGGACAAGAGAAGGTAACAGGGGTGGATAGAATATGATACAAACACATAATGTACGTGTATTAAAAGCCATAATAGTGTATACTATTAAAAATACTTTGAAATAGTATGAGTAAGGGTACAAACATGCTTTTAATGAACAGACTGAGAAACAGAAAACATATTCAAACTAACCTTGTAAAGAAGTTACATATGAGAATTTTTTGAAAATTTTTAAAACCATTGGTTCCTATTGATAAGATATAATAGTGTAATCAGTAGCTAGCAATATAACATTGTTATGTTAATTACTATGATGTCATTACTAATGTAACATGTACATTGATTAAGCAATGCTATTCAAGCATGCAAACATGACTTTTCCTTACACTACAGACATTGCCAAAACTTAAGTCAGTTTTGTTCTACAAATCATACAGCCAAACTGACAAAATATTAAAGCAATTTTTCTTACAAAGCGAATTTTCTACACTTCTGTTACTATATGAAAAATATAAGAAAAAGGTGATTTGCAAAATCAAAACATAAGCATTTCACTGAACTTTTATGAACACTGACAAATATTCAAAAAAAATTCCCAGTGCCTTTCAGAAACATTAACTAGAATGGTATCAGTAGTCTGATTCAACCCTGACAGAGAAAGCCAAAGAGCTCAATTACATCTTGGGCTAGTCAAGCTGACTCCTCCCCAAAGGAATACTTTGAATTTATTTGAAGACACAGGGCCTCCCACTTCATTGTGTGCCTTTTGTATATTTATCCTTTGAACTTAGAAGTCAAGATCATTCTTTGTGAACCTGGCCGTTGGAGAGGGCTCAGAAAGAAATGAGCCAAAGGGTAGGGAAGTTTCTCTGGAGTTTCTGTGATGGCAATCCCCAACTGAATGAATCCAAACACTAGATGCAGGATCTTACAAAAAGTACTGTGAGTTTGCCAACGAGATCACCACTTCTGGCTTCTAGGAAAACCACCACGAGCCATCTGCACTGGCTTAGCTCTAACTAAATAGATTTTCAAGTGTTGGAAGACATCTTATGAGTTCAAGATAAGGGGGGATTGAAGAAGTTACCTGTAATGTCAAATGAAAAATGAAAGTTTCATCAGGCTCTGGCAGGTCATCATCACAGACTGCTATGTATACTGTCCTGTTAGACTCTCCAGAAGGTATAAAAGCCGCAGCATACGTGTCAAAGAAGTCACCAGTGTCTTCTCCATACAGCTGCAAATGATGAACAGGACATTTTTACTTAAGGAAGAGGTTAGAAAAGAAAAATTGAGGCTAACTGGAGCAATCAAGAAAGTTTAAATCAAGTGGAACTGACATTTCTAACAGTATGTTCAAAAATGAATGCTTACCAGCTGTTAAATATCATCTTCTACAAAAGGATTATGGGGTGACAAAATGGATCATCAGGACAGTTGCTGCCAAACCTGATAACCTAAGGTCCATCCCTGAGAACTACATGGTGGAAGAGAAAACTAACCCCTGCAAGTTGTCCTCTGACCTCCCTCATGTGCATACACACACGAACACACACATACATACCTTTTCTATCTAAAATAAAAAACTATTTTTAAAAAAATCACAAATATATATAAAATAATTCTTAATATTGTGGAACAAAATTAATTGTGCACAAAAACTAGTAATTGCATAGAAAAAAGTGCTATTCATTTTTTTCTGTCTCTTAATTGATTTAAAGTAGAGTAAAGCAAATTGTGGCTAAAATTCTCACAAAGAAGAGATAGGAGTAGACTGACAAGAACTCAGGAGAATCGATTGTTTTCCCAATAGGTTTCAAAAAAACAGCTATGCCCAAACCTTTCAGTCTAAAATTATACTTACATTACACAACAGCAACTGAAATAAAGACTCACCATTTTAATATCCCAGAGTCTTAGTAATTATAAACCTTTCTAGGATCTTAGTCTTTAAAATCAGCATTGCTACTAAGATTCTCAGGGGATGACCAGGTGTGGAAAGGCAGGTCTCTGTGAGATCAAGGCCATCCTGGTCTACATAGTGAGTTCCAAGTCATCTGGGGCTACAGAGAGACCCTGCCTCAAAAACCAAACAACAAAAGAAGATTATCAGAGGAGTACCAATTACAAAATTATAAATGAACAATTCATTGTGCAAATCCAAATAAGACTTCTTTGACCAGAACTCAAAATTAATAATTAGCTACTACTGAAAAAAAAATTTTAGCTCAAATAAGAATGAAGAATATGTTTTAGGAAATGTTATTCATTATCTAGTTTTAACTTATAAAAAAAAGTTTAAATAGTTGGGAAATCAAAATAGGTTGGAAAAATATTGAAAAGGGTGTTGGAAAGCTTGTTCTCCCAAGTTACTATAGAAAATACCAATCTTGGAGAAAACATTACCAAGAGCCACTGAAGAAAACAATGGATTAATCTACCCTATCAAAATTCACAATCCAAATTATGGGGGAAAGGTAGGTACAGAAGCAATTCTTCAGAAATCACAACAGACAGCAAAACCTGAAAGGAAGCAACCTCAATGAAAAACAGCTTATGAAGGATTAGAATATAATACTCTATCAAGAAAGTGAAAAGACAACAACCTGAACTAAAAATAATTCAGTAAATATGTACATATATGTCAAATTAAGTTGAAAATAAAAGCAATGTATAAAACTGTAACATTTGAACTCAGCTGTCATTAGCTAAGAGATTAGGTCAGGTTAACGGTTTACTCCTAAGATAAAAGCTAAAAGTTTACTATGCTTTTAGCCCTAGGAAAGAAAACATTGTGGCCAATAAATTGGTAACCTTGAGTAAAAAGTTAAGCATCCTTCTGGGGCCAACTAACAGACTATATGTCCTGTTTCTTTGTGCTCTAAATCTTTGTATGTGACTGTTATTTCTCCCACGTGACTGCCAGTTCCTTGTAATGTATAAAAACCATCTGAATTTTGTAATAAACAGCTTGTGTGAAGGGGAAAAAAAAAAAAACTATTAACATGACTGCGTTTATAGGTAGTTTTTCTTCTTTTTCAGTTTTTAAATGATAATTTTAACCCACTGCTTAAAATTGATTTTGGAAGGGCTAGAGAGATGGTTCAGTCAATAAAATACCTGTGCACTGAAGCATAAGGATCTTAGTTCAGATCTACAGTATCCTAGCAAAAAGCCAGGGGTGGCAGTGCACATCTGTAACCCTACTGCTGCAGGGGGTGGGAAAAGGGAGTTGGTATAGGTCATTCTCCACAGTTTACTGACCAGCCAGTCTAGCCAATAAGCAAGCACCAAGTTCCGTGAGAGACCGTGCCTCAAAAAAACAAGTGAAGATCAACAGACACAAACATCTGACTTGACCTCATCCTCTACACACAGGCACACACATATATGTGCATCCATATACACATGTGCACATAAACATGAACACATACATGTGCTACACACACACACATACACATTTTTGCTCCAAATTTTTTAAATGTATTAAGCCTCTATTTAGCAATACCTTTATTAGTCATATAGCATTACTTTCTGGGTAAAAATACACACAAATACAAACATAAACACTCCATCCCAAGTTAAACTGTATATGGTTTATCAAATCTTCTTAACTTTGAATGAAGCTAACACACTTCATTTCTCCAAGAAAAGAGACTCTCTAACAACTTGGGAATTTTTTCTGATTACTATTTTTCTCTTTTAAATATCACATATATTTTGTCTAAATCACCCTACAATAAATGTCTAGAAAAAGATACTATGATTCAAATTACCCAAAATAAAATATTCCTGTTTTAAAATAAACATTCAAGCACTTTAAAAGGATCAGTCTTTGTCTTTAAAATACAATAGTTGCATGTGCACGGCTACACTGGAATGCTCTCTGAACTTCTAGCTCACGTGGGTGGAATAACACTGTCTCCAAAGCACCCATCATAATGAAACTAGTACTCAGCGTCTCAACTGTAAAACAAAGTTCTTTCCATTCAAACTGAGAATTTTCATATATGTTCAGAAAGAACAGAGCTGAAGTCACCTCTTACCGAGACAATTGCAGTGACGTTGGCCGGCTCTCCTAGCCTTTGAATGATAAGACGAATAACAGTTGTGCTTGTTTCATTAACGACAAATTCTGTTTGTCCAGCAAACCTTATTTCTGTTTCTCCAAATACAAAGGAGATGAGTAAAGCTGAAAGATTTACTAATAAAAATGAAGAGGGCATCCCTGGAAGAAAAAAAGAAACAAATTCATGAAGCTACCTAATACATTTTCATTAGATTTTGTTCTCTGTGCTAGGAACATAAAGTGAAGAATAAGAAAATAAGCAATTATGTCATAAATACACCAAATATTAAGGCATCCAAGTCAAACTGTACAATGACAGAGGTTAAAGAATCACAACTTCTTACATTTCTCCCTTTCCTATCTTTAACTACCTTTTCATACTTTGCTTCTGAACAAAGGTCATGATTTTAAAGCAAACATTATTAAATTTACTTTTTAAAAAAACTTACTGAAACTCACACTGTAGTCTAAGACCAACCTAAGCAGCATCATGGGAAAAGCAACCGAAGTCCATCTTTCCCAAATGAAACTGAAATGATGGTCAAAATCAAAATAGGTGATGACAAAGCTTTAGAAATTAACTGACTCCTTGGTTGCTGTCTACATCTTACTTGGATTTTTCTTGAGATTTAAAAATCTTTTTAATTGCTTCAAGAAACTGATAATCCTTTCAGAGATAAATTTCCAAGACTTAAATTTCTAAAATATTATTATCACTTCTTAGAAAAATGTCCACAATGCTTTACAATAAGCAAACTTAGCCAAATGTGTTCCTTCTTTTCCATAACTCCTATTGCTTTCTTCTTACTACAATATATGTGATTATGAGGTATCAACATTGCTCCCTCTTTCAGCTGTTTGTGATTCAAGTGTTTTCAAAAGCACAACACTGCAGTGACCTCATGAAAACCCTGCTGTTTTGTAATGCAGATGTACCTCTAAAAATGTGAACAATTTATCTCATGGATCGTTAAGATTCTAATGGATCTATGTGATCAGTCACACGAACATAACACGCTCATACATTTTAAAGGACAGCATTCTAAAGCAGACTCACATTACCTACTCCAGGAGCCAAATGCTTCCTATTAATCTTTCCTTAGCAAAAAAAAGCAATGAAATCCTCATGCATGTCTTATTTCTACATGGTCACACATGACTTCATATGAAAGAATCATCAAATATATGAATTCTTGATATATTTTAGAGTTTAAATGCAATTTTCTCAGTACAGTATATTCTCACAAGCAGTTTTCAATTGCTCGACATGCCTCTGATTACAAAATCCATAGATGGAGATAGAGTTCAGATGGAATCCAGGGAACAGACATAGGTCTGGAATTCCAGGGGACTTGGACATCATTTTGCATCAGTTCTTTCTATCCAAGTGTCTGTCCTGAAACTAAAGGAAGTTGAAAAAGAAATAAAGCAGCTGCAGAAATTTACATCTGGTCAAAGTTCAGAGAAGAAGAGACCAAAGAGTGCTCAGCTCTTAATGGGACACCTATATCACAGGCAAGGGGACAGAAAGATTGTAAGAGCTAGAGGTGGTAGGTGACTCCAAGGAAAAAGTGTTTGACAGCCAGCAGAACAGTTGTACATATGAACTCACAACAATTGTGAGAGCAAGCACAGGACCCACACATGTTCTAGCCAGACCAAATACTAGCATAGGTTGGGAGAGGTAGGCAAGAACACCCAACCCTAGCTTTGGAACTATTGGAAATTGATAACTGCTGGAAAGAGAGAGTCATTTTTCTTAAAGGTTATGATACAGGGTAGGGTAGGCAAGCTCCAGGGGAAGGACACACACCCAAGAGCGTTTGGGAACACAAATTAAGACTCAATATGATTTAAATAATAATAATAATAATAATAATAATAATAATAATAATGGACATGAAGTCAGGGGAGGCTGTAAGATGGGAGTGGGGATGGAAGAAGAGGTCTGAATATGACCAAAATACATTGTATGAAATTCTCAAAGAACTAATAAAAATATTTTTTAAAAGAATATCAAGAGGGCTGGAGAGATGGCTCAGTGGCTAAGAGCACTGACTGCTCTTGCAGAGGACCTGGGTTCAGTTCCCAGCACCCACATGGTGGCTAACAACCATCTGTAACTCCATTTCCAGTGGATTCAATTCCCTCTTCTGACTTCCATGGGTATTGCATGACACAGGTGTACTTACATGCAGGCAAAATATTCATACGCATAAAATAAAAAATAATAAAACATTCTTAAAAAATAAAAGAATATCAAGTATTTTCTAATTGTATACTGTACATCCTTTTTAATCAGTTATATTTATGAATTTATACACAAATAATCATATGTATAATTTTTTCTAGGAAGCCATTATTTAACAGATTTATCATATACTACTGGTAAAGAAATTCCTACTAAAAGGTTTCTGTAATTCCAGGCTATTGCCACAGCCCTTGATTGCTTCCTAGAACTTGAAGGTAAGACCCTATTGCTGAAGACAGGACATATTTTGGACACAGGGTTTGGAGCAATGAAGCTGGAACTGACCTGGAAGCCACTTCCCCTGAAGGCTAGCTCTCATAGCTGTGGAGAACACTATGCAAGCTGCTAAGAGAGAACATCAGTCAATGGTACAACCCCAGCTTTGAGGCTTAATTACCATATCAATGATCAGCACACAAATGCATTGGTGCAGTAGTGGCACTTTTATCTTAGGGGTAATCAACAGCTACCTAATGGGACTTAAAGCCCATTCAATGGAAGGAAACTCATGTGTGGTACTGTAAACATAGAAAATACACATGACTGGAGAGGTCACAGATCTTAGAGAAAACCCCAAGACTGTTACATCCCTAGACAAATGTAATTTCTTACTATGTGCAAAGTATGATCTTATTTTTAGACAAATATCCCGGTCACCACTCATCAAGGAAGCTTCTTTTGCAATAATGGGGATTATTACAGAGTTTCAATAATTATTACAGAGTTTGTAATAATAGAGAGTATTAAAGAGTTTCACCAATGGTCATACACAGAGATTGTCTATAAATTGCCCAAGCCTAAGTGGCACATCTAAAATGCAACCTCTAAACCTAAGGCTTACCGAACATAGAACAAGGTGTGAAGAGAACACTAATGCATCTCTCAATTTTCATCCATGAAGCTTCCTCATGCAACAGAGGGCTAGGAAAACAAAAGGCCACAAATGGCTAAAGTGTAAAGACAAAGAGTCTTCAGAGTGTAGGTCCTTGAACAGGACTCCTATATTAAAGTCCATCCACTCAGGGTTCAGAGACCATTGCAGAAGAAGGGGTGGAAAGAATGTAAGAGTCAGGGAGGAGGTGCATGACCATATGGAAATAAGAGTCCTACAGGCTCCTGGGACCTTTCTCATATGGGCCTACAACAATGATGTCCACATGCACAAGACCCATGCAAACTCAAGCAGACAAAAACCCAGCAGAGAACTGTGGAAATGGGCAGCAGGCCCCAATCTTAGTCCAAGAATTATTGGCAGTTGATTACTGCTGGGTGAGGAAGAGTTGATTTCCTTAAAGGGAGGGACTCTAAACAGGTTGACTAGACCACAATGGATGAACTTGCACTGAGGGGAGTCTGGGGACTCTAACTTGACACAATAGGCCTTAACACAAATGACAGAATGTATGAATTCTGGGGGAGGGGGGCTTTGGGAGGGTGCCAGTGGGGAATAGGGTATAAAGATGATTAAGATGTTCTGTATGAAATACACAAAAATTCAATAAAAAATTTACAAAAAAAATTCTGTAATTCAAGTACAATAGAAATATTTGCTCTGAGCAAAGAAAAAAGAAAAAGAAACAAAACAGTTCTTCCCTGACTTCTAACCCAGGAACGCTCGCAGAGAAAGAATGGAACAGATGAGAGAAAGGAAAGGGAAAATGAAAGAATGGAAGAGAAATGCCTTCCATACTTCCCAGGAGTGGGAATGTTTCTGACCTAAACCAAAGCCAAGAGAGAAGACACTGTGGAATTCTAAAGTCAGAGTGATTTCACATAGCACTTATGACAAACAATGGGAAAGAAATGAACTAGAGGTAATGCAAACAATAAGGTGAGAAGCAGCAACTTGGGACTTGGGTGTGAAGGAAGCAACTTTGATCTATTACGATTATAAAAGAAAAAAATCTCAGTCCTTAAACAAGAGACATGATAGAACTTGAGTTAATGGAGTAAAAAAGTCATCTATATTTCAAGGTGGAAAGAGTGAAAGTGAGAAGACAGCCTGAGGAAAGGAACTACGAGCAGTGTACTTCTCAAAACTGCCCTGGATTAAGCATCAATTCCCACACTTGATAAAAATGTCAAGTCTCCTCAGAAATTCTGACCCAGCAGATCTTGGCTGGGGCCAAGGAATCTGCAACCTATCAGACTCCTTATTTACTCTAAACAACTCCAGAATACACAGGTACACTTAGAAACACACTGTCCTAGACTGTGGGGACTAGGGAGAGGACAGGGGTCCAGTATAGGCATATAAAATTCCACATTTGTAGCTTTAAGCTAACTCCCAAATTTTTCAAAGACATAGGTGGGAGCTTACTACACACTTTTCCCTTTGTTTTTCTACCTATTCTGATATATTTTCAGATTCTATGCATCATAAAGGAAAAAAAATCTGTAACAACCTATAACATGTATCACATAGGCCACTATTTATATGAAGCTATTTTATGCAGTTTATACACATTGATTCATTTAGTTCCCACATCTCTGTAAGGGTTAGAAAATCATTAGCTCTGCTCTATAGTTGTAGGAACTAAGGCACAGACAAGTTAGTTAACATACACTCACTCAGCTGTGTCAGTGGTTAGGCAGGATTTGAATCCTGGAGTGCATGGCCAGACAGCCCCCAGAAACCCCTCAGTACTGCCTCTTATCTTCATTCCTAAAGGCTCATGCCCTCTTCCTAATAATGGACTGTTCATGCTACATATTTCCAAGCAACCAGATACCTTAAATTCATGTAAAACAACCAAAACTTCCATGACACCCATAATTATGGGCCTCCTAAAAGTTTTCCCTTATCATTCTTATAAACATTACACGTATTTAAATGACACCAGAGTTCTCTTGACTATTTTAAATATTTAACAGTATCTTTTTATATTGGGACCAATGAACTCAAA